GATAGATAGATAGATAGATAGATAGATAGATAGATAGATAGATAGATAGATAGAGGGCACAGGGTGAGTTGAAGATGAAGGGGTCATATCTGGAGAATAAAATTAAGGGGTGAGAGAGGATTATACTAGGAGAAGGAGAAAGGGAAAGGTAGAATGGGGTAAATTATCTCAAAAAAACAGAAAAGAAAAGGCTCTTGCAGTGGAGGGGAAATGGGAGAAGGTGAGAGGAAATGAGTGAATCTTATTCTCATAGGATTTTAATTAATGAGGGTATAACATACACACTCAATTGGGTATGGAAATCTGGCTTGCCCTACAGGAAAATAGGAGGGGAAAGGAACAAGAGAATAGGGGGATGATAGGAGGGCAGATTGGGAAAGGGGGTAATCAGAAGCAAATACTTCTGAGGAGGGACAGGGTCAAAAGAAAGAATAGAATCAATGGTGGGGGGCAGGATGGGATTAAGGGATGTAGAGTTAGTTTTTCACAGCATGTCTACTATGGAAGTGTTTTGCATAACTGCACATGTACAACATTGTACACAGTAACAGTAACATATGTGATGACCAACTCTGATAGACCTTAGCTCTTCTCACCAATACAATGATCTAAGACAATTCCAAAAGACTCAAGATGGAATATGCTATCCACATCCAGAGAAAGAACTATGGAGTCTGAACACCAATCAAAGCATACGATTTTCTCTCTCTCTTTTTTTTCTTTCTCATGGTTTTTCCCTTTTGTTCTGATTCTTCTTTCACAACATGACTAATTTGGAAATATGTTTAAAAAATATATAGAGAGGTGGCAACAGAGGCATGCAGAATGATATTGCACATAATTTACTCTTTCTAAAATCTTTACTCATATCTAGGGTAATTTAGCAAGATCTTTGTACTCTTCACCCTTAATTACAGAATCTTAGTCATGGCAAAGATATTTTACATTACCTTTTCTAATCTCCTGTGGCATCTTCAAGATAGGGTCATCAAATCTCTGCTTGATAAAGGCAGGCCATTCTAGATTCCTAGGCAGGCACCAGGTATCATCATGATGTTATCTTCAGTTTACCAATGCCCTCTGCTCACAAACTGTTGCTTTCTTCTCTACCAAAACCTTTATATCTTTCTAATTTACATTTAAGAAATATCCAAGCCCAGATTTGAACTCAGGTCTCCTGTTCTAAAGCTCAGTACTATCTTATTTACATGTACAGTTATCTACTCTGCTTCTTGGTAGGACCTGTTCCAAATAGCTCTAGAATGAGTTAGCATTCTTAACTAAAAAGTGGGAGGGCTAATTCTGACTCTATCACTAACCTCCTCTCTAGTACCTTTGGGAACTCACCTCTGTGAAGACGAGCCACTATTACAGAAGGAATCCCAAAGATCAAGTCTCCCATCATGTCAAGAAATAGGCCTTTCTTTTTGACAGGATCTTCTGTCACTCCAAGACACTCCTTAGTTATCACAGGAGTAAGGTCTTTGGGGATTTTCTGGAGGGGTCATGAGGCAAAGAATGAAAAGTGATTGGTCATTCATTCATATCTTCCATTTTGTCATCTATACGTACATCATTTCATCTATTCATTGAATTTATACCCTACAAAAGATTGGCCCAAGCAACATCTTTTCTCGATGACATTGTCAAGTCATTGTAACCAAGCCTCACCATAATGTTATGAAATCTTGCTATAAATTGTTTAATCAATTACCCATTTATAACATTACTTACTAAGGCTAACTGCCCTATAAAATATTGTTTCTTTTAATATCATATATTTAGAGAATGATTATGCTGTTCAGTCGCTTAGTCATGCCCAACTCTGTGACCCCTTGGGGTTTTCTTGGCAAAGATACTGGAGTGCTTTGTCATTTCCTTCTCCAGTTCATTTGACAGATGAGGAAATTGAGGCAAATAGGGTTAATTGACTTGCCCAAGGTCGCACAGTTAGTGTCTGAGGCTAGATTTGAACTCAGGTCTTGCTGACTCCAGGCCCAGCACTCTATTCACTGAGCAACTGAGCTGCTCCACAGAACCATTATAGTTCAGTAGAAAACATGCAAAAGTTAAAAATGAACCTGTTTTCAAGTCCTGGTTCTGCCACTGAAAAACTGTCATTTTCCTTTCCTGGGGCTCAGTTTCTCCATTTTTACAATGAAGCTATAGAAACTACATTGGTTCTAGGTCCCTCAAGTTCTAACATTCTGCATTCTAAGCTTCCCCCTCACCCCCCATCTGCCAATTTATATTGTAAGTTCCTTCTCTGCTCTGACATACTGTGATTTTAGGTCCCTTACAACAAGTGGGTAGGAACTCCACAAAAGACCTGTTGCTGTTTCTTGGTCAAGTCTATCTCCTGATAGAGGATATCCTGTCATCTGCAAAACAAATAAACAGATAATCAGCTATTTATTTAATTAAATGAAAATAAAAATTCATAAAAAAAGCGATAGTGGTTAACAAAGGAAGTAAAGTATTCCATGTGAAATAAATGAAGAAAACGCTCTTATTTTATCTTTGTCACTGGAATAGAATTCTCCAAGTTGGCTTATATCAATGAATCATTTAACCTATAAAATATCCCAAGAAACCACAAAAATAGAATATATATTTTTTAAATTATGAAAATAATAGTTGCCACACTTTTATCCAACTGATTAAAACAGCCACTAAAACTAGGATTCCTATTGTGTTTACAAGGCTAGCCAATAGGCAGCTTCCTGAGATTAAGGCTTATATATCCTTGACTCTGTGCTCTCACCTCCCCCCTACCTACCCCATATTCAAGTTGTTGCTATGGTCCTATCCATTTCACCTTTGTAACATCTCTCAAATATGCCCTCTTTTCTCCTCAGATACTGCCACTGCTGTGGTGCAGGCTGTCATAAACACATGCTTGGATTACTCTAATAGCCTGTTGGTGGGTCTGCCTGCCTCAAGTCTCTCCCTACCCTAATTCATTCTCCATTCATCTGCCAAAGTGATTTTTCCTAAAGCAGAGGTCCAACAATATGCCCTGCTCCTGTGCCCCTGAGTCAGTAAACTCCAATGGCATCCTATCATATCAAAGATCAAATATAGAATCCTCTGTTTGGCACTGAAAGTCCTTCATAACCTACCCCCCCCATTTCCTCACACACACACACACACACACACACTCCTTTACAGTCTTTATACGTCTTATTCCCCACCTCATACTTTTTGATCTGGTGACTCTAGCCTCCTTCTTATTCCATGAACAAGACATTCCATATCTTCGTTTTGGCCATTTTCTCTGGCTTCCCCCATGCCTAGAATGTTCTCCTTCCTCATATCTGTAGCCTGGTTTCTGTGGCTTTTTTGAAGTTCCAGATAAAATCTCATCTTCTATAAGAGTCCTTTCCCAACCTCATTTAATTCTAATGTCTTTCCTATTTTCTTTTTTTTCCTTTCTTTTTTTCTGTATATAGTTTTTTTGGCCAATATTTGCTTGATAGTTGTTTCCCCCATTAGATTGACTGACTGATTGACATAGTTATCTGAGTTTTAAAGAGACTGTAACTATAGCCACTTCTAACTATAATCATGTAAGTTTCTCCATCTTGTCTATTCTAATTCCATCACTAAGTCTACATTCTTTAAGGTTATATGAGTGCTCCCAGGATAACATAAGTGATATTGGGAGGAGTAGTAATACTGAACCATTTATACCTGAATATTTATCATTTGTGTCTAAATAAGATCATTTTGTATGAGATTCAGGGCCAAAAGAACTCTTAGAGATCATTTGGTCCAACCAACTCATTGTATAGTAAAAAGAGCAAACAAACAAACAACAAATTGAAATTCACAAAACTGACTGTCACAATGTCACATGAGTAGTGAGTAGCAGAGACAAGATTCAAACTTATGGTCTCAGATCCCAAATCCATACTCTTTCCATTATGCCATATTGCCTCCACATTAGTGATATCAGATATCAAACTCAATGTCTTAAACACATTCTATTCAACTTTAACTTTAAGTTGAAGATAGCATGAAGGTCCTATGTACTGGGCTGTGGAACTGCAACTCAGAAAAGTAGAAGGCCTGAGTTCTAATGCTGTTTTCCACCAAGTCACATGTGACTCCCTGCCAATCCCTTGTTTCTTTGGGCCTTAGTTTTTTTCATTGGCAAAATGAGGTATTTCGACTAGATGGTCTCTAAGGTCACTGATCTTTCAGTTAGAGAGTACTAAATACCAGCTTTGCAACATCAATAACTCGACCATTGCCTAGAGTAATTCCTTGGAAATATAATCCAATGCTGGAAGAAAAGTATAAGGCTAACTCTACAGAATGGCCCATCATAATGAAGACAATTTTTTTTTCTTTGCTAAGCCACTAAGGAGTTCCTGGTCCTGGAGACAGAAGAAACATGAGAATAAAGAAGTAACACAATGTTCTCACATTTGGAAAAATCCAGCCAAATTCATCACTGTTGAATCCCACAATATAGGGGATGTGATTGAATTGCTTTTCAGTGAGGAGATCTCTGGGACTTTTGGGGAAAAATATTCCATTTACAACCGCAGGTAAGAATGTGATTTTCTGAAAGGAAAAAAAATAGTAATGAAAACATTTTTCTCATGCTAACCAGAGAATTAAATGTGTGATTTTTAAAAATCTCCTTCCTCTATGGACTACGGAGTGACACATTTTCTGCATTTATTGATGAGGTCAGCAGGGACAAGAACCTGCAGCTTTATTCTAAACCACAAGGACTTTTATGGGTACTATCTTTATCTCACCAATGGATTATTTGTGAATCAATTACTTTTGCCTGTTTTATAACTGATTTGAACACAATGAATTAGAAAACTAGTTAAGTAAACTTAATTCAATTAATGTGGCCAAATGTGTAGAAAAAATGCGAGGTTACAAAAACTAATCCCTTATAGAAGGTTACCCTGGCTGCACAGATAAAAAGTAAGCATTGAATGAGGCTATGGTTTCCCCACCTTTTTGAGACCATATTCAAGTGCTATATTCTCTAAAGAGCCTTCCCTGATTTCTCTAACTCAGAAGTTCTTACTTTTTTTGTGGCATAGACTCCTCAGAATGTTTAAATAAATAAAATAAAATATACAGTGTTAGGAAAGAAAGCAATAATATTGCAATCTATCAAATTTAGTAAGTCAAAATGGAATATATCAAATCGATATGTTGAAGTATATCAGTTATCAAAATATTTTAAAAATCAACTTCATAGATGCCAGGGTAAGAACTCTTTCTCTAGCCATACAGATCAATCCTTCCTGTGAACTTATATAACATTTATTTGAACATGAAAAAAAAAGCTCACTAGTCTCAGAGCCAAGAGGGCAAAGATATGGTTAACATTCCCTAGATAAACAACTGTAGACAAGTCACATACTCTATAATTCTCAGTTAACTCACTTGTAAAATGAGGATAATGATACCTATTTTGTATACTTTACAGAATTATGAAGATAGCAAAACAAACTGGTTGTATTTGTATACCAACTTAGATTAAATCAATTAAAATATTTATTGTATTCTGATTGTTTTAAATCTGATATTTCTGTCACAGAATTAATAATCTCAGAGTTGTAAGGGAGCTCATATGCCATCTAGTACAACCCATAACTGAAAAGGAAGCCCCTCTAGAACATACCCAAAGAAATGGCCATCTATCCTTGACCCAAAGACCTCCAGTGAAGGGGAACACAACCTTTTAGGCAGCCCATTCCACTTTTGTACAGCTCTAGTTATTAAGAATAGTTTCCTTATGTCAAGCTTAAATCTGCCTTTCTGCAATATCACTTCACTATTCCTAGTTCTAGTCTATAGGGCTAAAATGAAAAAAAAAATCTAATTTGCTCTGCCACATTACAGCCCTTCACCTATTTGAAAATAACTACAATGTCCTTCTTCAGCCTTCTTCAGTTTAAATATCCCTTGATTCTTTACATGATCTTCATATGGCATAATCTAAAGGTCTATCAGCATCCTAATTGCTCTTGTCTAGCCAATCTTCGCTTACTAATGTCCTTACTAAACTGTTGCACTGAAAATTTAAAATAATACTTTGACCAGAGTAGAATACAAAATCTCCTTATTCAGTAGCCTCCTTATTTTTGGAAGTCAAGTTTCTTTTAATACAGCCTAATTTGCATTTGCTTCCTTTTGTCCAGAATCAGAGCTCTAGATTTGGAGAAAGCAGATTTCAACAGTTCAGTGAAAGGATAGGTAGGATAATCATAAAAGTAGTAATAACAGCCCACATTTATATAGCACTTTAAGATTTGCAAAACACTGCATATGCTAGGTCTTTTGATCCTCACAGCTCTGTGAGGTAGATACCATTATTTCCATTTTACAGGTGAGGAAACTAAGACCAAGAAAAGTTAAGTGACTTGTCATGTCACACTGATTGAAAAGGTTTGAAGTGGAATTTGAACTCAGGTCTTCCTGAATCCAGGTCCAGCCAGCTTATCCACTATATGACCTAACTGTCTCTAGGATTTCATGGACTAAAATTCTAGGGGGAAAATCAGTCTAGGAAGGATGAGAACCTCTCAAGAATGAAGGTCTTAAGACAGAAAGAGAAACAATGCCAATGAGTAAGAAAAGTGGGAGTTCTCTGAAGGGACATAGGGTACACTCCAACAAAATGAGATTTTTTTTCAAAGGAATGTGTACAGGAAATGTAAACAAAGACTCCAATGGGGGGCAACCAGGATGGCGAAGGTCCTTGATTTCATGTTATATAAAGTTTATTGAAGGAGCTTGAAATCTTTAGCCAAAGACAAAAGACTCAGGGAGGTTATAACAGCTGTATTCAAGAAAGCTGTCATGGAGAGTAGAAATTGGATTTCTTTTCTTTGGCTAGAGTAGGTAGAGCCAGGAGCCAACTATGGAAATTACAAAGAAGAAAATTTATATTTTAAATTTCCTCCCTCTCCCTTCCCACCTCCCTCTCCAAGATGGTGTTAAATCTGATATAGGCTCTACATGTACATTCCTATTAAACATATTTTCACATTAGTGATGTTGTAAGTAAAAATTAGAACCAATATGAGGAACTACAAGAAAAAAAGAAACAAAACAAAACAGAAAAAAGAGCAAATAGTTATTTTTTCTAGTTCTGTATTTTGGTAGTTTGATTGGTATGGCATGGAATTTAGGTATAATTTCATTTTATTATATTAGCTTGGCCTACCCAGGAGCAATTTATATTTTTCCAGTTATTTAGATCTGGATGCTGGATGCTTCCATCTGCATTCAAACTCTATAGTTCTTTCTCTGGATGTGGATAGCATTTTCCACTCTAATACTTTTGGAGTTGTCTTAGATCCTTGAATTGCTGAGAAGAGCTAAGTCTATCAAAGTTAGTCATTGCACAACGTGGCTGTTACTGTATACAACATTCTCCTGGTTCTGCTTACTTCACTCAGCATCAGTCCTTACAAATCTTTCCGGGTTTTTATGAAGTCTGCTTGCTCATAATTTCTTACAGCACAAAAGTATTCCATTACATTCATATACCATAAATTGTTCAGCCAATTGATGAGCATCCCCTCAATTTCCAGTTCTTTGCCACCACAGAAAGAGCTGCATTAAATATTTTTGTACATGTAGGTCCTTTTCCCATTTGTATGATCTCTTTAGCCCTAGAGATTGCTGGGTCAAAGGGTGTGCATATTTTTATAGCCTTTCAGGCATAGTCCCAAATTACTCTCCAAAATGATTGTATTAGTTCACAACTCCACCAACAATGCATTAAAGTTCCAATTTTTCCACATCTTCTCCAACATTTATCATTTTATTGTTTTGTCATGTTAGCCAATCTGATAGGCATCACTCAACTCTTAATCCAGGGTTCTTTCCACTATATTTTGATGTCAGTAATGCAAGCCAGACTGTAGGACATCAGTTCAATATCTCAACTAATGCAGGATATAAAATAAATCCACATAGATCATTAGCATTTCTGCACATTACTAAAAAAGCCCATCAGCAAGAGATAGAAAAAGGAATTCCACATAAAATAACTGTAGACAATATAAAATATTTGGGAGTCTACCTGCCAAGGAAAAGTCAGGAACTACATGAACACAATTACAAAACACTTTTCCCATAAATAAAGCCAGATCTAAATAACTGGAAAAATGTAAGTTGCTCCTGGGTAGGCTAAGCTAATAAAATAAATATGAATATAAATGAAATTCTACCTAAATTAATTTACTCATTCCATGCCATACCAATCAAACTACCAAAATATAGAGCTAGAAAAAATAATAACAAAATTTATTTGGAAGAACAAAAGGTCCAGAAAATCAAGGCAATCAATGAAAAGACACCCAAAGGAAGGTGGCCTAGACATAACAGATCTAAAATTGTACTATAAAGCAGCAATCATCAAAACTACTTGGTACTTGCTAAAAAATGGAGAGGTAGATCAGTGGAATAGATTAGGTACATGATACACAGTAGTCAATGACTAAGGTAATCTACTTCTTGATAAACCCAAAGACTTCAGCTTCTGGGATGAGAACTCATTATTTAACAAAAATTGCTGGGAAAAATGGAAAACATCATGGCAGAAACTAGTCAGAGACCAACATCTTATACCATATACCAAAATAAAGTCAAAATGAGTACACAATTTAGACATAAAGGGTAATACTATAAGCAAATTAGGAGAGCAAGGAATAGTTTACCTGTTGGATCTATGGAGAACAGAAAAATTTATGATCAAACAAAAGAGATAGCGAACACTATGAAATGTAAATTGGATAATTTTGATTACATTAAATTAAAAAGGTTTTACACAAAGCAAATGAAACCAAGATTAGAAGGAAAGCAGAAAGCTGGTAAATAATTTTTTACAACCAGTGTCTCTGATAAAGGCCTCATTTCTAAAACACATAGAGAAATAAGTAAAATTCATAAGAATACAAGTCATTCCCCAATTGATAAATGGCCAAAGGATATGAACGGGCAGTTCTCAGAGGAAAAAATTAAAGCTATCTATATCTATATAAAAATGCTCTAAATCACTATTGATCAGAGAAACGCAATTAAAAACAACTCTGAATACCACATCACACCTATCAGATTGGCCAACATGACAAAACAAGAAAATGATAAATGTTGGACATGTGGGAAAATTGGAACACTAATACATTGTTGGTGGAGTTGTGAACTGAACTAACCACTATGGAGAGCAATTTGGAACTATGCCCAAAGTGCTATAAAACTGTGCATACCCTTTGACCCAGCAATACCACTACTAGGTATGTGGCCCAAAGAGGTCATAAAAAAAGAAAAGGACCCTCATGTACACAAATATTGATAGCAGTTTTTTTATGTGTGGTGACAAAGAATTGGAAATTGAGGGATGCTCATCAATTGGGAAATGGCTGAACAAGTTGTGGTATATGAATGTAATGAAATACTATTGTTCCATAAGAAATGATGAGCAGGTGGATTTCACAAAAACCTGGAAAGACTTGCATGAACTGATACTGAGTGAAGTGAGCAGAACCAGGAAAACATTGTACACAGTAACAGTAACATTGTGT